CACACACACACACACACACACACGCACACACTCACTCATGTGTACACTAACATTGTGGGCTTGTATCCAAAATCAGAGTCATTTATCAGGCACTGATCCATGACATAATGAACTGAGAATTCAGAGATAAGAATTGGTGACAGGAATAAGTTTAATTGGGAGTAGGGGAGTTCAGAGATTGAGGGGTATCAAAATCATAAGAAATGTGGCAATACCATAGGTTAAGTGCATAGGATTGGGGGTCAACAACCTAGCTATCTCTTGAAATGATCTCTTACTAGTTGTGTGACCTAGAAATTTTATCTCTATCCACTCAATTTCCCTTGGGTAAAAGAGGATGATAATAATTCTCTCTCATGGATTTCTTTTTTGTGAAACAATGTTTATTGAGCACTTATCTGAGAGGTGGCACATCTGAGAACTCAACTGATTATCTAGGCAAGTAGCTATGTATATATATAAAACCCTAATATTCAAGTAGTCCGAATGGTGGAACAACCAAACAGCCAAACAACCAAACAACCGGTCGCTGTGACGTGCACTGACCACCGGGGGCCAGGTGTGGAATATGGCGGCCATCAGCAGCAAGAGGCAGAGCGCAGAACATGGTGGGCTTTGGCTGTAGCGGGGTGGTGGTACAGGTGAGTGGGGTCGCCAGACCAAGGTGGGGCACTGGTCGCTGTCATCAGGGCGAGCCTCTGGTGGTTACTGAAAATTCTTTGTTCTCTCATGCCGCAGTAAAAGTGACGTCAGTAGTAGACTCTTTCTTAAAGTAGCAAATAAAGTGAAATAAGGTAAATAAAAGCTGTTTCAAATTTGTACCAAAATGTTCTACAGTTCATTGGAATCAGACACTCAAGTCACAGGTGGAGTGTGAGGGAGCCAGACCCATCAATATCTCTTGGGCAACAGCTCATTCTGTTTTACAGGGTCAATGGAGAGTGCACTGAAATTACTTTCATTTGTGACAAAACAGAAAAAAAGGGTGTATATAGTTTTGAATGTAAGTATACGTTAAAAAGTGTTTATAAATTCTACTTTCAATTGCAAGAAATTTAGTAAATCCCAATATCATTAGTATCTTGATTAATTCTTGATTGACACTTATTTAGGTAATATAAATGGGGCCATCTAATAGCCAATATCCTCAATTTGGGAGAACCTGGTGTGTAAAAGCCAAAATATGGTACATAATATCATCAGAAAAAGGTGGCAATTTGGTCATATGCACCACCTACAACAAAAGAAAATAGGCACACACA